TAAAGCTGTTTCTTATTCTGGGAGCCCAATCCAAGGCTGGGGGAGGTGGGCACCAGGCTATTTAAGCATCGGCAGACTGCGTGCTGAGTCATTGTGGGATTGCTCTTCCGTCTTGCATTTCTCCTGCTGCCCTAGTCCTGCCTTGGCTATGAGGGAGATCGTGCTCACCCAAACCGGACAGTGCAGGAACCAGATCGGTGCAAAGGTTGGCAGCTGGGGCTCTGAGGTCCCAGCTCATGCCTGCAGGGTGGCTGGTGAAGATGTTGGCAGTGGAGGGTGTGGTGCCTCTGCATTGCCGTTCCTGGGCTCCCTGCCTCAGACGCGGTAGAGCTGGGTGGCTGGTGAGGCTGCCAGGGTGAACGCCAAGGGACCCAGCGGCCTGAGGGTGGGGGTGGAAGTGGGAGAAGGACTGGGGTAACTCCAGCTCCCTGAGCTCCATGACTCAGCCCTGGCCTGTCTGGCCTCTTGCACCTCTTGCAGTTCTCTTGATCTCTGACGAACATGGTATTGACTCTGCTGGCAACTACCACGGGGGCAGTGACCTGCAGCAGGAACGCATCAATGTGTACTACAACGAGGCCAGCGGTGAGACCCCAGTCTTTCCCCGGCTGCCCTCCTGGGAACACCAGCCCTCTCCTCACCAATGCCCTCCCATTCCCTTCAGGTGGCTGGTACGTGGCCCGTGGTGTGCTCGTGGATCTGGAGCCGGGCACCATGGACTCTGTGCACTCAGGGCTCTTCGGGCAGATCTTCAGGCCAGACAACTTCATCTTTGGTGAGCTGTGGATGAGGACTGGGGTGCGGCTCCTTAGCCAGGGCAGCTCAAAGTCAGCGAGTGCCCCAAGGTCATTTCTGTGGGAACTGTGGAACCAGGGCCCCTGAACACCCTCCCATCCTCTGAATTACTCAATATCTCTCTCCTAAATGGGCTTTGGGGAAGGAAGGCCCAGCTGTCTCCTCAAGGTGAGGAGCTGCTGATGTGATCTCCCTGCAGGGAGCTGAGCTGGGGTGGTGACTATGGCCTTCGCTGACAATGGGCAGGAGCCACCTGCAGTGAGTCTGTTAG